AAAAAAGAAAAAAAAAAAAAAAAAAAAAAAAAAACCTCTTTGCCAGTCTTCTGAGCAGCTCAGGATCTTGGCAGAGAAGCCAGCAGGTAAGAAACGAGGAGCCAGACCAGTAGGTGCAGAGCTTGCTTCCCTGGAATGTCCGGCTCTGCCACGAGCCCCCCTCTGCTGCAGCAGTTACCCACCGCCCTGCTCAGGGGCACTGTTTGGCAGGTCACCCGGGGTTTGGGAGCGACAGGTGCTTTCATTCCGGGAGCCCCTAGCCCGGCGTGAGCCTCGGTCTCGCTTTCCACGTGAGGAAACAGGTTGCCTCGTGAGATGGGCCGGGCCAAGACGGAGAGTGGCAGACCCAGGAGCGGTCAGGCAGTGTGCTCTCCGGCAGGGGTGGAAGCACACCGCGGTTAAGAGCCCTGTGTCGGGGTCTGATTCCCCTGTCCGCAGTCCTGGCTTCGCCATTTGCCAGCCGTGGAGGTTGCCCCGGGACACACAGGTTGGCATCACACCGGCCAAGGTGAGGTAAAGGTAGCGGGAGGACCGGTGAAAAGGAGTGGGCCGCACACCTTCCACCGCCAGGAGAAGCGGAGCCTCGAATCTCCTCCCCAGTTATTCTGGGAGAAGCAGCCTCTTGGTTAAGACTCCATTCCATATGGAGGGGCTGGGGATGTAGCTCAGTGTTTCTGCTGCCTGCCTCGCACGCCCAAGGTCCTGAGTTCGATCCTCAGTACCAATAAATAAATAAATAAATAAAAAATAAGAGGCAGGGTTCCATATGGAGATTTGGGGACAAAGCGTTGGTCCCAGGCCTGACGTTCTCTCTGCTACACCTATGATAACTTAGTCCTTAACCGACGTGGTTGCGACCCAGGGTTGCTTGACTCTAGAGTGAGTCACCACGTGTGCCGCTTCTGTGACTGGGGGCGAATTTGGGTGAAGAAAATGCTCAGTGACTAGAAACCTAAACTGGAAGACCTGTACCTTCCGAATCTGAAGGAAGGGGCTGTTTATGGGCTGCTTTCCACGCGAGGCTCCAGATGACATGCATCTGTTCTGACCCGCTCACTGCACAGCACCGATCACAGAGAGGTTAGGTAGTAATAGAAACGAGAGCAAGATCTTAATGAAGTAGTTACTTTTAGGAGCTGCGGTCTTTTAATGGCTTGAAAACCTCCTCACTGCCTTACTCCATTACCATGCACTCACCTGTTTCTAAAGGGCAGTGTTGAAAGGGGACTTTTATTGAGTGTGCAGCTTGCACAGACTTTGAACCATGCCATCCTCACTGTCCCTGTCCCGTGGGTGGGACAAGGAGGTCCGAGCTGTCACACAGCCACCCAAGTCCACGGAGCCTGATTCCCGGCCAGTCCCTTGCCACTCTTTTATGTGCCAAGGGATGCAGCCAGAGGGACTTTGTGGTTAAACTAGGGGACCCCATTGTCGGGACCTGTGCCCCCTACGCCTCCCAGCTGTGGTCCAAGGGACACCGGGACTGCGTCTGACGTGGAGGCTGTCGTCCCCTGGGGCTGGAGCAAGCAGGATGGCAGGAGACAGGGATGGATCTGGAAGCAGGAGATACGCTGTTCAACAGCAGGCATGGGACGAGACACCAGTCACTAGAATGTGGTGATCAGTGTCCTACGTCCTCTCGGCCAGGTTGGGGCCAGTTCTCAGGGCCCAGCAGCCTGAGAAAGCACAGGGGAGAACTGGCTCTATTTACCCAGCAGAAGATGGGAGGGGAAACAGAGTTAAATTCTCCCAGAAGGGACCTGGGATGGCACCCAGAGCTTTCACTCTCAGCCATTTCCTCAGCTTCCCCCCTGCCTTTTAAAACTTTTTTCATTTTGAGACAGGATCTCTCTGAGTCACTCAGTTGCCCAGGCTCAGCCCGAACTTGCCATTCTCCTGCCTCAGCCTCCCAGAGTGCTGGGGTTCTGGGGTGGTTTCCACATCGGATACCACTGCTCTAAAAGGAAATAGCATTTCCTCAAGAAGCTGAAACCCTAGCATCCTTGTCACCAGGGGCCTGGTCAATAATTGCTAAGAAGACTGAGGCCTAAGAGAGAGTCCTGTGGGTCAGGATCAACTGGATCAAGAGTTTATTTTATCACTGGGAAGAAAACATAAGAAAATATGTGTGTATGAGAGACGAAAAGGTAGATGTCAGTCCCCCAGATACTGTAAAAAGGGTTTTAGTTCAAAATCCTACTGGGTAACAGTTTTGTCATTTTGTGTTTGGAGGGCAGGGGCAAAACTATTCCAAAGACAAAGAGGAATTAAGTTTTACCCCGTCTTTGGGAGTTCACCTCAAAGACTGATTTGAATGCTGCCATCATATTAATTATACTAGAATGACTCATTACATGGCTCCCTCTCAGTTCTCAAGTTGTTTTTCTCATGAGCCCTGGAAAAACGCTGGCAAACACACAGGTCAGAGCACTGTGTAAGGTAAATCCCAGTCGGTCCGACAGCAATAGCAGCTCTCTCAGCTGAGCACCCGGCCCAGCACCAGGAGGAGTGATCGGCCAGTACAGGGAGTGCTTAGGAAAAACTTCGGCAGTAAAATGTCCATAACCTTGAATCCTCCCCGCTCTTCAAACACCCTCCTCCCATCGTCCTCGCCACTTCCTGCAGCAGCTCTGGAGTCCTCTTTCCTGAGCGTCTTAAAATGCGCTGTCCTGGCTGCCTCTGTGTCCTGAACGGATCCAAAACGTCTCCCTTTCGTGGTCATCATGACTTTGGGGGAGGAGCCAGAAGTTGCAGTGCCAGATTCAGTGACAAAGGTGGATGAGGACACAGCGTCGTAGTTTTAGGAGCTGCCTTTCTGTTAGATGGCCCTGGGCAGAGCAGCATTCATCATATATATATATATATTTTTTAAATCTCATCTGGTAAAGAGAAACAGGGAAGAGAACTCCAGAGGCGCTGCAGAAAGTGGCGAGGACGATGGGACGAGTGCACTGGGAGCAAGGGGAGGATTCTGAGGGCATTCATAGCAGTGTGTCTTTCCCTGTCCGCATCCTCTGTACACTTCCTTCGCAGCAGAGTCAGGGCTGGTGGCTTTCCTCAGGTGGTGCCCCGAAAAGGTGGCCGACCATGACTCAGAGAGGTAGAGTCCCGTGCGTCCCCCACCCCGGTGGTGGGAGGGCCGTGCAGCTTCCTCCCTAGCAGCCCACAGCTCCAAAAGCAGGAGAAATGAAGTCTGGGACCAGCAGGTCAGCCGCGCTCTCTGCACCCTGTCGGCCCAGCCCCTTGAGTCCTCCCGGGGCACAGGGTTTGTGAGCCCTGGGAGCGGAGCGGATCTTCCTCAGCCAGGCAGTTTTAAATGACTTAATAAGCCCATCACGTCTTAGTATTTTTTTATGATTTTATATCCTGGAGTAACAGTGTGGAAGGTATGACTTTATTATTATTAATTACTATTATATTTTTACAGTTTTCCAAGTCTGGCTCTTTGATGTTTACAAGTTCAGACGACATGCGGTTTCCAAGCCAGATTTCATAACCTTAAACTACCTCTGCACTTGGCTCCTGTCCAGCCTGTTCTGTTTCAGGTCTTGTTTACGTTTGGCTTAAATCTTGAACTGGCTGTGCTGTTTGTTGTGCCGCATGGAGGGGAGGTAGGGGGATGAAGCCAGCACTTGGATGGTGTCTGCTGAGCAGGGCTCAGGGCCCGGCCATGCTGCCAGCACCGGCCGGGTGGGTCCCGCGCTGCTTGGATCCCGCCTGGTCCCAGCCGCTAACCTCCCAGGGCTGTGCGCTGTTTCCAGTCTGGCTTCTCTGCTCCTCTACTGTCTGTGTGACTGGGGAGTTTGGCTGTGGCAGCCACGAGTGCATGTGTGTGTGGCAAACATGAAGAAGCCTGGGAAGTGAGGAGGGCACCTTGCCGACAGTCCTGGGTGGGCGGAGGGGCTCATGCTTCGCAGGGTGAGGCAGCGTGGTCCCCGGGGCATCAGCTGTTACCGCTGGGCGAGGTGCTGCAAGCCCAGATCCCCAGCTCTGGCCGGAACCACTGCATGCGGGAGTCTGCGTAAGAGGCCACCCAGGTGCACACTGGGGTCTGGGGACCGCTGAGGAGGGGCGGACGGTCACAGGCAAGAGTGAGTCCTGGGGAGCACATGCGGAGAAGTCAGCAACTGAATTGCAAAAATGGGAGCAAGGAGTTGATGAGCCGTCTGAGCCAGGATGTAGCAATGGGACGAAAACTCATCAGACTCAAAGAAGAAGAAGGAGAAGGAGGGAGAAGGCAGAAGAAGGGAGAACAACAGTGCCATCTGGGTCGATGTGTGTGGTTTTGGCCCCTCAGGTTCTGTTGAAAGGCCGACAATAAAGTACAGACTGCAGTGTCGCGGGCACTGTGTGCACACGGAGACCATGCGCCTGGGGAAGGTGGTGCTGTGACTGTGCTGTCTGCGCTTCTCGTGGGCACCTGGAGCTGTAGGGGTGAGTGAGTTGGGTGTGCAGATTTGGCCACGACCCACGACAGCCGAGTGGCACGAGCACACCCTGTCAGGGGCTGGTGGCCGAGCAGCGTGGTGCCCTGGCCGTGTCGTGTGTCAGATTTCGACACAGGCAGCTTCACCAACTCCAGGGATGTGGTTTTGCCCGCAGTTCACACACGTGTGGGTTTTAAGGAGGTGTGTGGAGGAGGAGTTATTCTGTGTGGTCATAGACCTCAAAGGCCAGAGTGCAAGACACACCGGGTATCGCGGCTGACAGAGGCCGCAGTGATGTCATTCAGCCACTTATCTCGCAGTCGGGAGAAGTCAGACCTGGGAGGAAGAAGGCTCGCTCACGGCCCAGAGTCTCATCCAGGGTCGAGCGCAGTGTATGTGTCTCAGGGTCACGTAATCCCTGACCTGGGGCACCCCCAGCTCAGGAAGTGATCAGAGTGGACACAGCGACACCATGCTGACCACTCTCCCCGCGTTGTCCTGTCCGGTCCCCACGTCGAGGCTGTGTTGTTCCCGTTAGCAGATGGGAAATGGAGGCCGAGACGGACTGAGTTCTTCCCAAGTTAGTGCTCAGTCCCAGACCTGGGATGGGAAGCCAGACCCCCACTGTGGCACCAGTGGCTTCAGTAATGATGTCGTGCTGTGCCTCCTATCTCTGAATGCCCCCAGAAGAGCTGGCTTCTTCCCCTGTGTCCTAACAGCCACCACGTCCCCGTTGCTCGTGAGCTGCGTGCACTGCTTCCTGTCAGTCCCCTTGCGATTGCAATCTCCACCTCACAGCACCACGCCCACCCCATTGGCAGCCATGCCTGTACCTCGTGTGAGCTCGATAAACACTTGGGAGAAGGCGTGCAGAGAGCAGTGTGGGCTTTTCAGACAGATGTGCCTTAGCCCTCTCTACTCCTGCCCAAAGCCTACCACACTGCTGGCCTGCAGCGAGGACACCACCAGAAATTTTGAAAGCATGAATGAAGAGCAGCACTCATCACGAAACAGGGAGCTGGGTGGGTCCCGGGCAAGTTCCGGAGGACTGTGCTTTCAGGGATAGAGGGCCCTTGGCACA